CTCACAGTGAAACTCTCTCTCACAGTCTCTCACAGTGACCCTCTCTCAGTCTCTCACAGTGACCCCCTATCTCACAGTCTCTCACAGTGACCCTCTCTCAGTCTCTCACAGTGAACCTCTCTCTCACAGTGACCCTCTCTCTCACAGTGACCCTCTCTCTCACAGTGACCCTCTCTCTCACAGTGACCCTCTTTCTCACTGTGTCTCACAGTGACCCTCTCTCTCACAATCTCGCACAGTGACCATCTCTCTCACAGTCTCTCACAGTGACCCTCTCTCTCACAGTGTCTCACAATCACCCTCTTTCTCACAATGATCCTCTTTCTCACAGTGACCCTCTCTCTCACAGTGATCATCTCTCTCACAGTCTCTCACAGTGACCCTCTCTCAGTCTCTCACAGTGACCCTCTCTCTCACAGTGACCATCTCTCTCACAGTCTCTCACAGTGACTCTCTATCTCACAGTGACCGTCTCTCTCACAGTCTCTCACAGGGACCCTCTCTCTCTCAGTCTCGCACAGTGAACCTCTCTCTCACAGTGACCCTCTTTCTCACTGTATCTCACAGTGACCCTCGCTCTCACGGTCTCTCACAGGGACCCTCTCTCTCTCAGTCTCGCACAGTGAACCTCTCTCTCACAGTGGCCCTCTCTCTCACAGTCTCTCACAGTGAACCGCTCTCTCACAGTGACCCACTCTCTCACAGAGACCCTCTTTCTCACGGTGTCTCACAGTGACCCTCTCTCTCACAATCTCTCACAGTGACCATCTCTCTCACAATCTGTCACAGTGACCCTCTCACTCACTGTGACTCTCTCTCTTAGTCTCTCACAGTGACCCTCTCACTCACTGTGACTCTCTCTCTTACAGTCTCTCACAGTGACCCACTCCCTCACAGTGACCCTCTCCCTCACAGTCCCTCACAGTGACCAGCTCTCTCACAGTGACCCTCTCTCACACAGTGACCCTCTCTCTCACAATCTCGCACAGCGACCCTCTCTCTCACAGTGACCCTCTTTCTCACTGTGTCTCACAGTGACCCTCCCTCTCACAGTCTCTCACATTGATCCTCCCTCTCACAGTCTCTCACAGTGACCCCCTCTCTCACAGTCTCTCACAGTGATCCTCTCTCTCACAGTCTCTCACAGTGACCCTCTCTCAGTCACTCACAGTGACCCCCTCTCTCACAGTCTCTCACAGTGACCCTCTCTC